TGGTTTGAATACCTAAGATTAGGGTTAGGGTAGTATGTGAGTTCTGAGTAGATAAACATTCTGAGTAGTCGGCATCAATCTCTAGCTTGTGAATCTCAATCATCTGGAAGTGTTCCTGAATCGTCCCAAATTCTCATAAATCATTAATGTATTCCAATTATAAGGGACGATGGGCCCGGTTCCCAGCACGTGCCGCTCCCCACGAATAGATTGGAGTTTTTCTTTTCTTTTCTTTTTAAAAAAAAGAAAGAAAAAATCAATGTTGTTCTGCCAGGTACACTTTCTCTGATCTTGTCAGTGGGACGCTGGACCCGGTTTCCAGCAGGTGATGCTCCCCACCAATAGATTGGAGCCATCTATAAACTGGAGCTTGCTATTGGAGGATGCTCGTATCACCTCCAATAGCAGGATGCCACAGATGTTTTGTCAAAAAAAGAAAGGGAAAAAAGAAAGGTTGAGAGAGATAGCGAGTGGGTTCTGCAGGACTACCTCCGCAGCTCGGCAATAGAAGTTGCATAAGATCTCCCTGACTAATACTGGTCCGTCATTGCTGAGATGGTGGCCACCTGCCCTCCCACAGTGGAGACGGTGGATGCATTCTGAGGCTCGAACCGAATTGACTGGGCTCACATCGCCTACCTGTCGAGAAGAGTGGTGGACAAGGTTATCCACAGCTGCATCTTCAAAATACAAACAGTGGACAATGACCGGGGCAGCCCGCTCAACCCGCAAGAAGGTGCTCCCCGGATGGGGCCGGGCAGAATCACGATAACAGACCTGTCACACAGTTCTGACGACCAGCTCAACCACCCCCCACCAAGTGACATCACACTCGCACCCAGCGATCACCTTCTCCTCACCTGCTGCAAGCACTCAGCCTCCCGGCTGACAATGGACAGTGGCCTGGTTGACAATTGTAGCATATCAGAAAGTGAAATGCACTGAAAGCCTAGGATCTAGCAATGACGAAAGTGGCAACAACCAGCAGCATAGGTGCAACATTCACAAGGTGTCAATTGCACGATGCAAAGAGTGAAACAACGAGAATTCAACAACAACACATTCGTATCATTATCATCATAGGCTGGGAAGCAGCGCAGCGGAAGATTTAGTATCAAGAGGACACGTGGACAACAACATCAAAGGGAGAAACTTCGAAAGGGCAAGACACTAGAAAGATTGCCCTTCCGCTCACACACATGGGAAGAGATCCATAGACATGCGAAAGAGAAGGGGGAGGGACGTAGAGGTAACCAAGTCCAACCCAAGTCTGATCTCCGAATGTCGCACACACCTCAATCCCAATGTAGAGTGTAAGTCCGATCTAAATGTCGTGTCCAATAAGGCAGAAGGCCGTGTCCAAAACAATGTCTGCAGTTACCTCTATCTCTACTCGGATAAAGAAGAAGAAGAAGAAGAAGAAGAAGAAGAAGAAGAAGAAGAAGAACTTCGAAGGAGTAGGAGGAGAAGAGGAGAGGAAAAGAAGAAGAAGAAGAAGAAGAAGAAGAAGAAAG